CCTTCTCAAGATTAAGTACCTATCTAAATTCATTAATCAGTATAATATTTTAAAATCAAAATACTAATCTTCTCAGAACCTTACCCTGGGGTAAGGCTACTCATATTAAATAAAAATTCAGCTACAATTCATTAAATTCGGATAAAGCAAATATTAAAAATAATAACATATTCTCGTCCGTTCTGCTGTTGTCATGATAATAAAAAATAGTTGAGTATTTAATAGATAATATATTCCCAACCTAGATTATATACAAAATATTTCGAAATATTAATTATTTTTTATATCAGTGTTGTTAAAAAAAATCAGCATATCACGTAATTTATTTAGGAAGTTTCCTGTTTTGCTGAAATTGAATAGGTAGCTACAGACGTGCAAACGCGAAAGTCCCGCATCGTGTTGTGCCGAATTTCGCAATATTTTATCACTTTATTACCAAACTGATACCGCTGTGTTCCCAATTTTCCCATGCGCGCCGCTATGCCACTAGATAGTATTTATCTGAAACTTCATTTCAGTCTCTATTTTTACCTAGGAGAAAATAAAGCAGCATTTTCCATTCGAAGACCACGTTATCTGAAATGGAATATGCACCTTCCATTCATAACTTATAACTTTGCCCCTGACGGCTGGCTAGAGTCGATTTCAATGGAATCATTTTTTAGATAATACTCATGATAGAGTAGAGTATAGCGAAATGAATAATAGTCACTCACAATAATATTCGTGGAGCGCTGGGTATGTACCTACGTCTGAAAAAAATGTGAAGGCAATAAGTGAATAAATTAAATTTTGTTATGAAAATAGTTTTGCCTAACAAAAATGTCACACTAAAAAAAAAACAGGCAAATAAAAAGTACAGAAACAGACGAATAAAACACACAAAACAGAGAAACAGGCAAATAAAAACAAACAAACAAACAAACAGATAAATAAAATGTACAAAAATACAAAAAATACAAATAATAATTTTTAAGAAACTCAAATATGCGACCAAATTTTTTTGCTTCAAAGACAAGGGGGCCCACGAAAAAGTGTCTTAAGGGGGTTCCCTGCCAAAAAGCATAGCACTATCAGATTCCACGTGTCATAAAACCCCTGTGTACCAAATTTAGTGATTCTCGTACAACAGGGTTCTAAAATATAAAAAAAGACTATTTTTAGGGGCGGATTTCAGGGGGCTGTAACTACGAAAGAGGGGGCCACTTGGCAAAAATAAAAAATACGGGTCTGCTAATTTTATATTAAGAATTTGTGACCAAATTTTGTTGCATTAATTTCAGGGACACCCGGTATAGTATAATTCTGTGCATTTTTACTTATTTTTTCGTTTATTAAAATAATGAACAACAGAAAAGAAGACATACAGAGACAATGCAAATATTTCTAATATTTCTATTCACAGGACTCTTAAAAGATTTTGACAAAGCAGTAAGTTGTTTTATTGTCAAAGTAGCTATTAAAGTATTTTACAGGAAATAACAATATTAGTTGCATGGTATTTTACAAAATTCCACACTATTCCATAATGTTATTTCACATTATTTTAACAAAATAATTTACATTCTCAAAAAGCAAACTTTGAAGAGCTACTAATTGGATTAGCTAATCGATTTCTTCACCTTAAACCCAATATTGTATTAGACCGTGAGCCTATTGTGTCCGGTTAATTAAAATTTGCTACCAGCGCTGTTATCCGACTGATACGATGTTGACGGCTTAATATATTCCTGGAGGAATTACAGGAAGCAGGGAATAAGGGACAATTTAATCTTATGACACTATTATATAACAATGTCCTCAATAATTCCATTGTATGCGGCATTTTAGACAAGTGGTCCCACATCCCCTAGAGACTGTAGATTATATATCAGCGTAGATACCTACATACATATTATTCCACTTCACATGTGACACCTGGTCTGTTATTTCAGCTGCTGGGAGACATGCACTAATATAGCATTCATGCTAAACGCGTTCTTTTTATATTTACCCAGCCGACACATTTTCAGTTAAACAATTATTGTTACCCATAGAATAGGCACAGAACTGAAAGGTAGGCGAAAATTATAAATGAATAAAATTGAATAGTATTAAACTACAATTGATTAATTAATTTAATACTTCTTTAAAAGGCATCAAAGTAATTGAAGTCAGGTAAACCAATTTTTTTTAATTCTTATTTAAGGATCCGCTGTTTAAAATTATATGAAGTATGTCTTAGGCAAAGTTCATCAATCAATCACTAAGAATCTTCAGCGCAAATAGACAAACTACGTAAAGTCTACTTTCCCCAAATTTAAAGGATTAATAGTAGATATCCCTATAAACGAGGAAAACAGAAGGAAATCCATAACCTTAGAGTCAAAGGTCGACATTTGCATAGACATAAGACGTCCGTACCAAGCAATAGCTCGTGAGACTCATTCCTGTTAATTATCTCTATTGATTATCATCCGTATCAATTATCCCTAACTGTCAGGGCACAGTTAATGTCATAGATGATTTAATTTTTGGGAAAAACGAAAACCAACACGACTAAAGACTGAAGTAACATGAAAAACGTTACATGGGTATAATGTAGTACTCAATGAAAAATTACTGTGACTCGGAAGATAGGATAGTAATTTCAGGTCCTAGTCCAGTAGGTTTAGAGGCTGTTTTAGTACAGTTCAATATAAAGGATTTAAGGATCATAGATTATGGTAAAAGTTTTACAGGATGTGAGATCCAAATGGAAAATGAAGCATTAACTAGTTTGAATAATTGAGCATTTTAAAGTATATCGGTTTGGAAAAGAATTTGCATTGGTGACGAATTTTAAACCCTTGGAAACGACATTGGCACCTACATCAAGACCGTGTGCAAGAACCGAAAAGAAAAATGGGTCATAAGATTGTAGTCGTCTAAGATTGAAGTAGTTTATGGGTTCTGGAAAAATGTACAATAAATAATAATTCCTGAAAAACTTAAAAAACATGCTACCTTGAAGCTAGCCCGCGAGCTGGGCTAAATTGTAGCAATAAGAAAGCGACTTTGTAGGAAAATTTGGTGGCCCTATGTAGATAGTGATGCTCAAAAACTGTAGTTTGGACAGTTGAATATCTGTTTGGGAAAGAATTTAAATTGGTAATGAACAATAAACCTGTGGAAACGACATTGCCATCTACATCAATACCTTGTGCAAGATTCTAAAAATGTGTCATAAGATTGTAATCGTTTAAGTTTGAAGTAGCTTATGGGTTTTGGGAAAATATACAATAAACAATAATTCCTGAAAAACTTAAGATTAGCTTGCAGCTAGCTCACGGGTTGAGCATTTGGGAATTGTAGCAAAAATTATCGATTCAACTAAGACTATAAAGTATCTGGAGAAGTTTTTTGAAGGCTTTGAAGGTTTTAAATGAAATGGTACATTAATATTTCCAGGCATGACTTAAATTTCCTAATGAATATACTTTTCACCGATGAAGCAAATTTTCCTAGAGTAGGTGCAGTAAACCTTCATAATGTTCATTCATGGTGGGAAGAAAATACTTATGAAATATTTGTTTCAAGATGTCAACATAATTTCAGTTTAAACGTTTGGATGGGAATTGTAGGAAATACTCTAGTAGGTCCTTTTTTTTGAACGAAAATCTTCCAACATTACTTGATGATGTACCCCTCGCTAAACGTCAGGTGATGTGGTATATGCACGATGGAGCGCCTGCACATAGTACACTTGCCGTTAGAGAATGGTTAAATTTAAATTACCCGAATCGCTAGATTGGTCGTGGTCGTGATGCCCCTGTTTGTTGGCCTGCACGTTCACCTGATCTAACGCTTATGGATTTCTTTTAGTGGGGAGACAAAAGTATTGTTTATGCCACTCCTGTTGCCTCCTTAGAAGAACTACGCTTAAGAATATTTCAGGCAGCAGATGACCTTCGCAATAACCAAGAACTGTTTGTGCGAGTGCGTTATAAGTTTCACAGACGTATTAGGTTATGCTTGCAGCAAAATGGAAATTATTTCGAGAATATTCTTTAAATTTAATTTTGCATTTCTTCTTTCTCGTTTGTATTAAATTTTATTTCAGATAAATAACTTTACCTAATACATGTCCCATAATCATAAGTTATCAAACATTTTTCATTAATTAATGTTATTATTAAATTATCAGCTTATTGACAGAAAGTGTCAATTTATTAATATGATAAATAACAATTTATTTGTTATGACATCCGCCTACTTTATTTTTACAAATCGCAATTACCTCTTTAGTGAACGATGACGCATCTAATTTTTTTACTAGAAAACTATCGGTTTTATCGAAAAATTACTAGAGGTAAAAAAGTTGCGCAATAAATCAGTCTTCCAAATAAATATTTTTAAATAAATAATTTGCTTCATATAAAAAATTTCTAACAAAATATTGCAATTTGGTTGACTGTTTCACTCCTTTATAAAATACGCCAATGATCGAAAAAATATTGAAAAGTTGTTTCTTTATTAATAGGATGCTCATACCAAGTTTCGTGTCTCTAGCGTTCCCCATGTTAAAGAAAAAAATTAAAATGTGAATTTCAATCCCCTCCTTTAAGGGGGGTATATCGCCTCAGGGGTGCAACTTTCATATAAGGTATTTTTACTTCAATCCTCTTATTTTTGGCTCTACATTCACTGGTACCATTTTTGCTACTTCATAGAAACACCCCGTATAAAGTGTATTATTCAGTTGGTACTGATGTATGTACACGTACAGAGAAGATCTCGTCACCTTAATGCAATGTATTATTCATTTAAAGACTTTTCTCTTCAATCAAGGGGGAGAATAGGTTACTTTTAGAATTTACAATATATTTTATTTCCAGAGTAGCAATTAATATTTTTTTCATTGTACGAAACGTAACTGCCTGTTTATCAATTACAAAATATTCAAGAAACCGAAACACTGACGATTTCTATAGACAATAAAATTTCCGCGCAATATTTTAAAGTAAAGTTCATTGTTACAGGTGCCCCTCAGGTTCTGAGGCAATCCGTAACCCCGGAAGTGGTAGTCGAACGAGGACAACGGGCTGATTTAAGTATGGTGGTGTGCGCTGATCCAAGACCTAGGTTCGTAGCCTGGGAGTGGGGTTCGCTTAGGCTGGAAGCGGGGACGGAAATGGGTGAGTATTATTGCGAAACAACACCCTTTGTGCGAACCTTTTATGTAAATGACGTGATTTCGTGACGTAGTTTGTTTTCTCTATTTCAGGAAGTAGAGATGAGTTCTGTTTATCACTGGAACTAAATAAATACGCCCAAGTCTCTTTACGAGCTGTATATATTTTCGAATATCTGTTGTACACGTCGATATTTCCTTGTTACTCTAGACAAAAATTGGTTAATTTAATGAATCCTTGCACCAAGAGAAGCTTCCAAAATGTCAAAATAAAAATAGAAAGTATAATTAGCTGTGAATAAATAGTTTTAGACATTAAATATATCAAATATACAGGGTTTTCCGTAGGTACATATACAACGGAGGACCACAGATTCCTGGATACAAAATAGGCCGATTTAAGCTAAGTCACCTTTATTCAGAATCGTTTGGTCGCTAGGTGGCCTTAAAGCATTTGAAGCGGTTTTGCTAAAGTCCAGTCCAATTAGATCATAAACGGGGGAATTTGCGCTTTTGCATTAAATAGAGCTTATTTTTAAGGCAACGTAACAAAAGAAATCACCTACGCCTCTCTACCCCAAAATATCTTTTTTTATATCGTTAATTGATAATTAACTATTAACGTACTTGACCGGGATTTTAGGGATAATTTAAGAAAGGGTTAAACTTTTAATTTCAAAAAGTTTCACATTGATAGTTGGCGCTAGCAGCAGTAAAAGTTAACATTAATTAGTTACCCTTAGTTAGTTAGTTAGTTAGTGAATCAACAATTAACGATATAAAAAAGCTGTCTTGGGAACAAAGAGGCACAGGTTATTTCTCTTTTTTAAATAGCTGTAAGAATAAACTATATTTAATGCAAAAAGAGCGAATTTCCGAAGGGCATTTGCCTGACCATGGAACAATCAATGTTTCTTTTTCGATACATTTGTTTGGATCAATTAGGACTTGCATCTATGATATTAACTTCTAAAATTAACACTTAGTGATTAAATAATTAGTTAAAAAAAAGAACGAAATTAATTAACAAATACCTTGAGCAATAATTTCACGTTCAATCAAATTGGCCTTTGGCACACATGTTGGTCATTGAGTTGACCGTCTTTTACTTAAATTTCATCAACATAACAATAATAATGCGCAATTTTAGAAAACTGATATTTTCGCTTTCGACCTTTGTTTTACAGTTAACTAATTGGTGAAATATGTCTTTAGACAGCTTAAGTTGTAGAGAATTTAATTGCTCAAAGCAACTAATTTTCCGATATGTCGTCTAGATTTTGATGGGCAGTAAAAAAGTGAATACACACCCAATTTTGTCAGTTATTTACAATTTGCCAATTTAACGTGACTTCTTTCGAGTTAGTTTTTTGATATTATCATCCTACATACACTTCAACGTCATAAAGTGCAATATAATGTATGTTAATAATTATTTTAAGGTCAAAATCTAATTCGGCTGGACTATAACTGTATTTCCTCATTTCTAGTTTTCTTCTATCACAATTGACCAATCAATTTCATATGTGCATAGATAATAAAACCTGTTTTACATATGCCAATCAATCAGTTAAATTAACATTTTCTAAGTTCATTAGACTATTATTATCAGAAATATTAATTTGTTGCATTTCCTAAAGATTTTTTTTGTATTTTAACACATTGCAAATTAATCAATTTAATTATTTTATCCAACACTTGTATATAATGATACTATAATTTCTTTGGCTTTTTTTCTTTTATAGAAATCATAAAAAGACAAATGTTTGGTTTATTTTTCTAATTTTATTAGAAAACCCATTTGAAACAGTAGTAAATCAACAAATAACCTAAAATACTACAAACTCACAATCTACCTACTTATTAACATTAACATTAACATTTATGATAAAGCCGTAATTTGATGCCAAAGGATTATTGGAATCATTTTGTGATTGTGGTATTGTACAGGTTGCCCCTTTGCTTGTGCTTGCTTCAGGAGTCTGCACTCCTTGTTTTTTTTTAGCAATATCAATTTTGCTGGAAATTGACTCCTCTATACAAATTTCTGCCACGGTAGATGACTTCCATCCACCGTGGCGTTTGAGTGTTGAAATATCCCCTCCAGCATTGGCCAAGAGAATTGCAGATGCGCGACGCAAGCCATGCCCTGTATACAAATTAGAATCTGCCAAGCCCAAAAATCGCGCAACAACATTAGGGATTTTTGATAGCTTATTAATACCAACACATTGACGTGTGCATTTTCCCTTTTGAAAATTGCAAACGAACCTTTTATGTTGCACATTTTGAGGCCTTAGCTTAGAATATTTTCTAATTAATTCGATTGGATTAACACAAAATCCTTCATTTAACACAGTGAAGCTTCCTGGTTTGTTCGTTTTTGTATTTGAAATCATGATGTGGATATATTAGTCTTTGTCCTCTATATTGTCTAAGCAAGGGTAAGCACCAAAAACTCCTAATATCAACGCCACCTAAAAACAACAAATTTAATAAATATAACTCAGATAAACTATTCAGTAGAACCTACCTTATTCGTAACATGATCTTTGTCTAGGGCTTCACGCAAAAATTGTTCGATTTGTTCTCTTTCTAAGACCTTGGATTTTTTTTTGGTTGAAAATGCTTGTGCTTAGATTTTAGAAATGCCACTAGTCTTCTGAATTTAGAAATTTCAATGTTCTTGTAAACTCTCAAAGTTGACTTCAACACGGAATATTTAGTCCACAATGTCGATGGAGCTAATTTCTCACTTAAATTGAAAAAATAAGCCAGCAAGACATCTTCATTCACGCCTTTCACCCCTTCTTTGATTTTCTAATCTTGAAATTCCTTCAGTTCTTTATTGTACATATATAGATTTTAATTTCTCCGGAACGATGCCTGCAGTAGCCGCATTAGCTTTTTCTAAAATTTCAGATGGAATTTCCACACTTTCCATTTTTTCAGTCTTGGTTTTAGGACTTCAACGTGATTTCAACTAAAAAAATAATGTTTGTTTACTGACAACCCATGGTTACAGGCACAATTTAGGTTGACATTTGCATCCTTTGAAATATTTAAAAATACATTCATTTCGTTGAAACTACTTGAAATTTTAAGTTAAGTTATTTATTATTAAAACGAAATACTATGAAAGTGTCGGATAAAATTTTATATGGCACTCGTGTGTTACATCATATAAGTCACTTGAGTAGATAAGTTGGGCCGGTTCTGCACCGGAAGTGGGGCAAGTGGACCCTAGTCCATCGAGTTCGGCGCCATGGCACTTCTTGCACGCCAACACCCACGCGACTCTTGCACAACGGCAATGACCACAAGAAGCCGCTGAACCCGCGCGCCGAACTCGATGGACTAGGGTCCACTTGCCCCACTTCCGGTGCAGAACNACGCAAAAATTGTTTGATTTGTTCTCTTTCTAAGAGCTTGGTTTTTTTGGTTGAAAATGTTTGTGCTTAGACTTTAGAAATGCCACTAGTCTTCAGAATTTAGAAATTTCAATGTTCTTGTAAACTCTCAAAGTTGACTTCAACACGGAATATTTAGTCCACAATGTCGATGGAGCTAATTTCTCACTTAAATTGAAAAAATAAGCCAGCAAGACATCTTCATTCACGCCTTTCACCCCTTCTTTGATTTTCTAATCTTGAAATTCCTTCAGTTCTTTATTGTACATATATAGATTTTAATTTCTCCGGAACGATGCCTGCAGTAGCCGCATTAGCTTTTTCTAAAATTTCAGATGGAATTTCCACACTTTCCATTTTTTCAGTCTTGGTTTTAGGACTTCAACGTGATTTCAACTAAAAAAATAATGTTTGTTTACTGACAACCCATGGTTACAGGCACAATTTAGGTTGACATTTGCATCCTTTGAAATATTTAAAAATACATTCATTTCGTTGAAACTACTTGAAATTTTAAGTTAAGTTATTTATTATTAAAACGAAATACTATGAAAGTGTCGGATAAAATTTTATATGGCACTCGTGTGTTACATCATATAAGTCACTTGAGTAGATAAGTTGGGCCGGTTCTGCACCGGAAGTGGGGCAAGTGGACCCTAGTCCATCGAGTTCGGCGCCATGGCACTTCTTGCACGCCAACACCCACGCGACTCTTGCACAACGGCAATGACCACAAGAAGCCGCTGAACCCGCGCGCCGAACTCGATGGACTAGGGTCCACTTGCCCCACTTCCGGTGCAGAATCGGCCCAACTTATCTACTCACTTGAGAAAATTTCCCAGCGTGACTTATTTATACCGTAACACACTAGTACTATAAATAACTATTTTCAAATAGTGCGTAATAAACTAATTAAGAAATCGTTGAATTATATTCAAACAATTTTTCTCATTTTAATACTCTATAACAGGGGTCGGCAAGTAATTTTAGGTGGGGTCCGGATACTTTTAAAAATTTTTAACGAGGCCCAGGAAAAAATTCATATTTCTTACAAATTTTCATTTAAACTCAAATTTAATCTACTGCTTACTAACCATCAAGAACTCAAAACACTCACACAATTGTAAAATACTAGAAAAAATGATAAGGTTGGCACTCAAACGTAAAAAAACACTTTTTAAATAATTTATTTGAGTAATTTATACTTTCAATACATTTTTGGCGGTCCAGTATTTTACCTTCCGCGGTCCGGACCAGGACCGCGGTCCGCCAGTTGCCGACCCTTGCTCTATAACTTCATTTACTTCAGTTTAGTTTATCTTGGCTGGATTATGACCACTTCGAAAATTATTACGTTAAAAATCATGCATTCTAAATTCTATAAAACCAACCATACTATAATCGTTGCCCTATCGTGAGAACGTATTTAAAAATCGCCCTGTATTTCACTAAATCAAATGTGAAAGAAAAAATCTCGATTGGCTAGATTGGCTCAATACCTTACACATGAACCGGCTTTCATTCTAGTTTGGAAAGATAATTTGAAATGAAATCAATCAGAACTTCCATTAAACTGAGAAAAGCACAACCGGCA